CACCACAGCCCCTAGAGAAGGGCATGGCAAAGGTCCAAGGGCTCCTGCACATTCTTGAGCACATTACTGAGATTCCCCTTGTCTTCTATGCACTCTCAGTAAGTAGCCTCAGGGAATCCTTGACTTCCCTGCAGACTATCCCCCCTTTTATTTTCCATCTTTTGGGGGTTCTCTGTATCTCGTACTTGGCTGGTCATATCTCTGGTGAGATGGGGAAAGTTACTCCCTTTCTTAACAGTCATAGTTTGAACAACATAGTATCGATTAATCTTAAGTCTTGTGCTTTGCATAACTTTTGCAATGCATGATGTCTTAGGCCTTGTAAACTTCCTTTACTCTAAATGTCACCATCTAAATGTAAAATGCAGCTGTAACTGAAGTTCTATACAATGTTCTGCTGGTTACATGGCTAAGTATAGGTACTGACAACTCTGGACTATAAAAGTGGACTGCGAGGCCTGAGGGGTGAGCAGAACCATTTTAGACGGACCTTGAGTCCAGCTCTGCTCCCTAGATTTGAACTCAGAAATGAACTTATTTCTACCAGTTCCCCGACCCTTGATTCATTGGTATCAAGGGTGAGTCGACAAGCATTACTAGAACCATAACACCCTCTGGGGGGCGGGGTTGGCAGTTCAGGTGCTAGGGGAGAGGGGCATACCTCATTAACAAGGGTACCAGCATAATCAACTTTTGTATACCTAACCCTGAATTTTACTCCACATCTTTATTTAAAGAAAAAAACAAACACACCCTCTCCCTTTCTCTCTGATAGACATTTTTGAGAACGCTTTTTTTTTTTTTTGAGTTGGAGTCTCTGTCGCCCAGACTGGAGTGCAGTGGCCACTCCTGGCCACCGCAGCCTCGACCTGCTGGGCTCCGGTGATCCTTCTGCCTCAGCCTTCCGAGTAGCCAGAATTACAGGCATGTGCTACCATGCTCAGCTGATTTTTTGATTTATTGTAGAGATGAGGTCTCGCCAAGTTGCTCAGGCAGGTCTTGAACCCGTGGGCTCAGGCAATCCACTCACCTCGGCCTCCCAAAGGCACGGGATTACAGGCTAAGCCACCGAGCCCGGCTATTTTTGAGAACTCTTTGAGGTTACAGAAAAATTAAGCAGAGTATAGAGATTTCCCATAAAACTCTTTGAGGTTACAGAAAAATTAAGCAGAGTACAGAGATTTCCCTTGTTGCTCAGGTCACTGCAGATTCAACCTCATGGGCTCAGGTCATCCTCTACCTCAGCCTCCACAGTAGCTGGGATTACAGGTGTGCACCACCACACTTGGCTAATTTATTTTATTTATTTATTTATTATTTTTTTGAGTTGGAGTTTCACTCTGTCACCCAGACCGGAGTGCAGTGGCCGCTCCTGGCTATCGCAGCCTCGACCTGCTGGGCTCCGGCAATCCTTCCGCCTCAGCCTTCCAAGTA